CAACACTTCTTTACCTATTCTCAATATTTCCCTACTCTTTTACTAAAATACAAAAATCCCTTATTTTCCCTCAATTCAACTTAACCGGATACTTTATTAGTTTAAGTATCCGCCCGTTATTAATTAAAGTATCAGCGCTGCTATATTATGCATCCGCCCGTTAATTAAGTATTCGTGCTGCTAACAACTTAATAATTTAAGTATCCGCGCATTATTAATTAAAGTATCCACGCTGTTATATTATGCATCCGCCCGTTAATTAAGTATCCGTGCTGCTAACAACTTAATAATTTAAGTATCCGCTCGTTATTAATTAAAGTATCCGCGCTGCTATATTAAGTATCCACACTGCTATATTATGTATCCGAAAAATACTAAAAAAAGGAATTTTTGGTAATTAATGAAAGAGTAGGGAAAATAAGTAATTTCTTTCTTATAGTATGTCATTTGCCTAATTTTTACTTATTATTTTGCGTATAATAAATATCTAATGGTAAATGCACTAATGATACACATATTGTAAATCGTTCTTATACACTTGATATCACCAGCAAGAATTATCAAAAAAAAAACAAATGAAGACCGCTGAAAAAATTTATTTAATTAGTACCAAACAATTATAGATCCTCTGTTAATTTCATGATGTTTATATGAACTCACATAGTACTCCGTGTCAAGGGCGTAAGCTATGTTATATCATTATTACTTCATCGAAAAATAGTTCCAAATATATAAGTAAAATGACATATGATGTGATTAAATAACATATTTTGAACGTTTTTGATATAATAAGGTATTGTAATCCTGTGATTTTAGACACCTTTGAAAAGGGTCAACGCTTAGGTATTCACGTGTGCAAATCTCACCCCTTTGTGACCTTCTTTTTTCCACTTTTTCTGGACATTCTTCATAACCTTCGTGAAATTTCTGACTCCGTCACTACTCCGTGCATTTACTTAAGCTCGAATCTAAACCTCGTTGTCCCCATAGCTTCGCTGCCACAAACATCATTGTTGCCAGAACTACAAATAACGGACAAATGTCTAGAGGCATTAAATCGCTCACGATCCAATTCAAATACTTGGTGTAAAATGGTAGTAAAAAATGTCTTATTTATTAATATTTATATCCTAAATAAAAGGCATACTATCTTTTTTCCTAAAAATATACAGCCTAGCACTCCACATAGTCATATTTTAAATTTATATCTGTATAGTTCAATTTTTGTACAATATTATTTATTGTTATACATTTTTTGTATCATATACAAATAATTTAAATATATTGTATAATAATATCTACAAGTATATTTATTTTGAATTAAAAAAGGTATAACACGTTAAGACTTTTATGTGATATCCAATTACATTATTATTCAAAATCAGTCCAAAATTCCACCAACCGTCCAATCTCCGACCAACAATCTCCAAACACTATTTTCAGCAAATTAAACAACATCATTTCCAAATAATTTACAAAAATCATATTCAAAATTCAAATTCGCTTTTTAGACTTGTTAATAACTTTCTAATCTGATTCTCCTCACTCAAATTTTCTAAATCCCACTAATTTAAGAATTAATTAATTACAATATTATGAACTTAACCGAATTTAAACTTCAAATACATATATTTAACGTGTTAATATATAAAATCAAAATTAAATATAATTAATTATAAATATTATATTCAAATGAATTAGCCTGTCTCTAATTTAAACTTACTCTAATTGAAATTGGATTATATTCGTATATATACTCCTATTAGTGGATTTGGATCTACTCCCTACTAAAATTCAACACACCACGCACGTGTTTTATATTTTAAAATTAAACATAAATATAACACATATAAATTATAGAGGAATAATATATATATATAAAAAATATAATGACTAATATATGAATAACTTCATATAATTTATTTATATATTACATTCATAACTCTAACCAACCTGTGTCGTTGTAACAACGAAATTTAATGCGTGAAATCATGTAAGATTTCATAACGTCGTAGTACTAAAAAGAACAACATTTTATTGATTGATTTATCGTGATCATCATCAAATATATACATACAAACATATTGCTTGAGATTGAGATTACTCTTATCAATTAGGTCCCCAACAGCTCAAGTACATAACATTTCTTAAAGACTCTTCAGATTGCTTCAATTTCTTGTCTTTCATCATAATCATTTTATTTGAAACAATTATTGTAGATGATTTTCCAGAAAGGCTCTGCCTAGTGAGATAATTAGTCTTGGCATGTTGTTGTAATAGTCTCATTGTGTAATTCCATCTAGCAAAACCTTCATCTTTTAATGCCTCTATTGCTCCAATGCTACTTGCAACTATCCATGCTCTTCTTGATGAACTCATTTTCTTCAAAACTTCCTTTTGATTGTAAAGTAATAAAAAAGGAGTGATATTTTTTTGTCTTAATTTTGCTTTGTTTGTTTTTGGATGAAGAATGAAGGTGTAGTGACGCTTTTTTTTTTTATAGGAAATTGGACAGCAATTGGGGGCGAAAAAAAAAATACAAAAATAATAATTAAAAAAAAAAAAGGAAAAAAGGCGGTGGAGAGGGATTTGCGGTGTCTCCTGGTTTTGAATGACAAGTGGGGTGTGTACGTTGGATGCACAGGAAAGAAAGGGGGTTCATTTTATTTCTTATGCTATTAATTTTTTATTCATATCGAACGTCGATTAAATTTGAATTCATCTAACGAAAATTTTATATATTTATATTAAATATTAATTAAATTTAAATTCACATAAAAAAGTTTCATATTTAAGGGTGAAGTGCTTCCAAATTAAGTGACACTATAGTAATTATTTAGTTTTGTATGAATTTAATAAACAGGAAGATCTTTTATTTATGGTTTAAATATAATAAAATATATAATAATGTAATGTTTTTGTGTCATTACAAAATATTTAAACTTTATAAATTTAAAGTGTTTGTATAATTATAACAAAGTTATATATAGTTGCTTAGTTTCAGTTTATGCAATTTTAGTTGTTCAGATCAAATTATATAAATTTGACTAATATTAAGTTGATATAATCTAATAATTTTAATAATTAACTATATTGACTCTCAAAAATTAGAAAAAAAAACAAATACAAAAATTGAGACGAATAAGATATTTATCATAAAATCTGTATAATTTAAAATATTACAATTTACATTTATATATAAAAGACGTTTCTTCGTTTTAATTTGTTTTACTTTTTTTAATATGTATAAAAAATACCTCTCGACAACTCTTTAATTTCTTTGACAATTTTTTAATTTTCGTTTATTTCTAGAATTTCATATTAAATTTAAATCAGATAAAAAAATAAAAAAATAAATATAAGTAAATTAAAATTTAAAAGATGTATGTATTTATCTAGGGAGTATCAATTTAGCTGATCCAATTATCTGTTTGTTTGGTATGGACAGGAGTAGGGAGCACCTGGTTTTCCCTAGACTGTGGGGCTGGACTTGGATCCTAATCCAAACAATATAAAAACCAAAATATCCAATGAATAATAATCACTATTTTTATTCCAATTATCCATAGCAATTTGTTTTCGATTCCACTTTTATCTATTTTCACCAATATTTACATTCTTTCGTTTTAATTTATTTATCCTATTTTAACATAATAGAGAAGTTAAAATTAAAGCACGTTTTTTTTAATTTTGTTGAGTTAAATTAAATATATATCAAATATGTTTAAATATTTTTTAATTTTGTGATGTTAAATATGTCACACATAAAGTTACAATTTTAAAAAAAAACTAAAATAGAAAAGAGCTATTTTTAAAGATGAATTAAAAAAATAGACAAATATATTGAAACGGAATACACCACCAAAGAATGTAATGCATTGGATAAAATTATTCCTTCCTTAATCAGAGGTCTCGAATTCGAGTCATATTGTATGAAAAGATTCTTGATAGGTCCGCTTTCCCTCACATGGTATCCGATATTAGGTGAAAAATCAAAAAAATAAAACGTAGTACAAACTTTTGTAATGAAAATTAATTCAGCTTTCAGTCTCCTGCTTTCATTGGCATGACTTCTTGTAGATCTTATTTGAATATTACAAAACCTAGTGTTATACTGTCTTTTTTTTGGTTTTGTTTGCCTTTGATGTCGGGTATCGACATTAGAGCCTAATTATATTGAAATTTGCATTATATAAAGCTCCATTAAAAGAAAAACACTCTTTATAAATGATTTTTTCATACCTAGCTAATGTTATACTTTCTCTGTCTCTAATTACTTGTTCACTTTTGAATTGACCTACCTATTAAAAAAATAATTATTGATATAGTGAGTTTATCATTTTACCCCTATTAATTGTGAAGTTGATGAATTAAAAATTTAAGATTTTCAAAAAGTTCTATCTTTTTCAAAGTAATTAATTGAGGGTATAATAGGTAAAAAAAATTGTTCTTTCTTGATTTGTCAAAATAGACAAGTAATTAGGAACAACTATAAAATGAAAAATGGACAAGTAATTAGGAACAACTATAAAATGAAAAATGGACAAGTAATTAGGGACAGAGGGAGTACTATTTAAACTTCATGTCTCTTTTCTTTTTATTTTAGTTAAACTCTCTATATCAGGGTAAATTATAATTTATAGCAAACAAATTTGGAAAGAGGAAGTAATATTCTGACCTCATGAAAAAAAAATGGTTTTATCCAGAATATGATGGTCCTTAATCTGATAGTATTTTTTTTAAACGTAAATTAGACATATATGAATTACAGATAATTAGCTTTTATAATTAAAAAATTATTCAAAAAGATACTCAAATATCATGATAAAAAGTACTACAATATTGGTTTCCTTTTTATTTGTCTAGTATGCTACAATGGTTGTATGTAAGCTAATTCTAAAGGCCCAACTAACCTTTTTTCTTTCCTATAACTGTAATTTCCCTGGCTAGCGTAACAATTCACAGGAACGCCTGTTACATCCTACTAACACATGTACTGGTTAACTCTGTTCACGATGTTTTATATCGAAACCATCTGGAATTCGGAAACTATCAGCTGCACCCAACTTTCTCCTCTCCTCCACCAAGTCTTCTTCAAAAAAACTTTGATCTATAGAAGGAAGATTGATACTTTTTGATAGACAATGTGGAGTAGCAAGCATGTTCACTTGACCAAAATGAGAGATTTCTATAACAACTTTGTCATCATCTATAGGAAGTGGTTGCTTCCATGGTTCCCCATCCATTCTCATAAATGTATGCTCACCAGCACCCTTGTGAAACTCAAATCGTATTCTATTTGCCTAAAAAAAAGAGTAGAAATAGAGATAACATTATACATCTATGATCTAACGATCGATTAGTAAGAACACATAATCAATCAAACATGTTTCTATTGAATTAACAACCTGTGCAAGGCGTGTCCCGTGCCCTCCTGGAGTAAACAAAATAAGTCCATGCCAAGCATCGCGAAAACCAACAACTTCAAGTAGACCATCATCAACATATGGAGGAGTAAGATCCCTCTGTTTAAAGTACAGAAAATGTTTTACATTATTGATGCATGACATTCTTAGATTAGATTTGGGCAGAGGATACTTAAAGAAAATCGAAACTGACCTCATGCAGCTTCTGTTTGTTAGGTCTTCCCCAAGGATTAAGTCCACCGGAAAAGCTGGGTAAATTAATGCAGACGATAGACCTGATGCTGCATATCCAACCACAGATATGGTTAAGAAAAAGGCGCGAAAGTAATGCAGTAGGTAATAGAGAACAATATTGCTACCTGCTTGGTATGTGTAGGTCTATCCATTCACCTGACCTTTTCATTATTTTGACATTTGCTAGCTGAGCAATGTTTCTGCGCGCAGAAAATTAAAGAGATACAATCAACGACGTTTAGTTTGAAATGAAACAATAGTTATAAGAGAGGCATTGTTACATTCATCAGCATCTTCGCATACTAATGTAACACAGAACAGATATGGACAGACAATCGGCGACAAAGTGTAAAAAGCAAAGATGATGGTCCTAAGAAAGGATCATTGTTAGGATGAAACGCGTATCATCATGCCAAAAGCTATAGTTAATAGCAAGGGCACAACTTTATTATTAACCAACCAAGCACTATGTTCGATTATGATTTATGACTATGACCCATGCCACTCCAGCCCCTTCATGGGGTCTTGCTATAGGCAGAATGTTGGCATTAACAATCCCCCTCTCCCAACACCTGCCTCATGCAACATGTTGCGCTTGGAAATTGAATTCGTGACCTTGGCTCTGATACAACTTGTTAGGATCAAGTGCTTATCATTATGCCAAAAGCTATAGCTAATAGCACAGACACAACTTTATTTCTTAACTAAGAGAACCAAGCAAGTGCCATATTCAATCATGACTCCGACCCAAGCCACTCCATCCCCCCTCATTGGTCTTGCCATAGGCAAAATGTTGGCGCTACCCAACAACCACTATTCACTATGAATAACGAGAGAAAATTACTGATACTGTAATCAGTATCAGTACAAGGTTTTCATCTAAAGGAGAACCTCGTGGAAGTACACTATTGCTAAAATTATTTCCCAAACCATAGTGGCATACGGGCAGGGAGAAAGGTAATGGTATGTGTTCAAACAATGAAGAAAGAAATGATATGACCAGCGATATATACAGGTTAACCTTGACTATAAAACTAACCTTGACGATGGGTGCATGAAAGAAGTGCAAAACCATCCTTGTTTACAGACAAGCTTCGCATAATTCCTCTAAACAAATCGTGAACAAAGAGAAAAGAACATCAGATACTTCATATAAAAGTAATCGAACAAATGAAAAGACAAAAGGACCAACAGTTGAAGTACATAAATATAGACAACATGTAGGAAAATATAACATTATAACACCATATTCCAAATGACAATAAGGACCTGATTAACCAACTGGTGTTTGAACTTTTCTGGATGGAGCTTCCTCTCACTGTGAAATGCATGTGAAACTTGAGCATCCATTCCTGCAAGTTAACGAAAAGAAGTGAAAAACTTCAACTCAGGAATGAAAATATTAATATTACACCAGATAACGCAAGAATTAAGCTCTTGATCAAATCGGCCACAACAGGAAACATCTCACTACTGAACAGATTCAAATATGAAGTGATTCTACGAAATGTAGATCTCTTAAATACAGTTTTTAGTATAGATATACTGTTGGTTTTAGCTTTCATCAACATACACAATGGTGTCATAAAACCAATCTAGTCTGATAATTGTTCGCTAAAACAGGCTATATGTATACCAACCGAAAATATTTTTTTCTGGACTAGAAATGCCAAAATGGAGTACTACAATATTGTAAAGACCAGTTGAAGATGTATTTCAAAAGACAGATTACAATTCTTACCTATGCTGAAGTAGTTCCAAAATCCTCCCCGAAATACATGATAGCCTTCCTGAAAATAAGCAGAATGCACCTTTAGGTAAAAGCAGATCCCACATTTTAATTTTTAACTTATTAAAGAGAAAACCAGGCTTCTCAAGCAAAACAAAGTGAGGTATACGTTACAAAGTTATTTTGAACCAAACCAATCAAATATTAGATGTATTCCAATCTATAAAAAGGATTAATATCTTAAGCATGAGTACAAAATAGGCAGAGCATATCTAGATACTCTTTGCTGAACTACATTTCTAGCTGCATAATACACTTCATAAGAAAATGGCTTTTCCATAATGAAGAAAAAAATGGACTGCAGAATTTGATACCTTGTTCAAAGTATCAGCTTGAGGCGCACCGTGAAAAGCATGCAATGAATGTGGTAGCTCAAGAGGTGCAATAGGATCACAAGAACCTTCTTTAGGAACCCTCATTTTCATAAGAATATGCCAGCTGATGAAACACAATAACCATCATGTCATTTCCGATTTATCAAGGTGGTCTAATGAATCATCTTTATGAAGAAAAAAAAACTTGTGTGTGCATTGTAGAGAAACAAGGTTTTTGAACATTAATCACATATTTTCCTTCAAACAGCTTCCGCATCAGTGTCAGTCAATGTAAACAAGGTAAATTCTTGAAACCAACTGTTTTCGAGGAATTATTGGACAATGTATGTACTGAAGATTAGTCGACACAATGGTGTATTGCAGGCCAAGACGAAGCAAATATTTACAGCAATATATGAGGTACAATAACCTCAGGGCGCGAAACATATCTATGTGTTGACAAGCATACATGAAGAGAATCTTCAAATTCACAACGTAAGTAAAACCAACGTTACCTGTCAACTTTCATTTCTTTTCCATTTTTCACTTGATTCAAGAACGACTTCACGGACTGGCAGTTAATACCAGGATTCTTTTTCCCCTGCAATCATTAGACAAATTCTCAAGGAGATGAAAAATTAATCGATATACTACCTATAAGAGTGCTCTATAAACATAGACAGTAACAAAGCACTCATTAGTTATATGCTAGATCTGCCTCTAAGCACAAGTGCTATTATTCTGCATTTAGACCATAAACTTTTTGATTTTATACTTTCATAGAGTCTAGAATCACCCGAAAAACAGTATCAAGAGTGAACTATTGCAACATGTTTAATGTCATATATAGCATAAATTGTTCGTTATACAAGATGATAAATGTGATCTTAGTACGTATCTTACCCAACCAAACGCAAAAGGCAGATTGTTTCCTGTTCCTAATGGCACGGTTGCAATAGGAGGTGGATGAGCTAATTTTAGATCTGATACAACACCAAGAATCCAACCTGCTGTTCCATCCCCACCTGCCACCTAGAGGTGAGTAAATATACCTCAGATATATCGCAACGAATAAAACATAGGTAATACTTCAACTAATTACTAAACTCACTATGATTCTCAATCTCCTTTCGATCTCATAAGACAAGCTATCTCCATTTTGCTTATGCTTTTCTAAATTGGAGTAGAATTGATGTAGAACTTTGTCAGGAGCCTTTTCTCCCAAATCAAATACCTGAAAACAATCATTTCCACATTGAACACTTTGGAAGATCGCGACATTTTGTACTCCACAAAGAGCTTAATAACCTTTGAATTTTATGTATCTGAAGAAACGAGAAATGTGTATGCATACCAAGAATAACAACACACTCACTATAGTCCCACAAAACGGAGTCTAGAGAGGGCAGAGTGCTCGCACACCTTACCCCTACCTCAAAGGTAGATAGGTTATTTCTGATAGACCCTCGGCTCAAGGAAAAGAAGTCCAGAGCAATCCAGAAAAAGAAGTAACAAAAGTACAAGAAACAACAGATAGTAACAAAACAATAACTAAAACAAAATAATCAAAGTACAAGAAACAACAGATAGTAACAGAAATCGAAAGACAAACACTTTTAACTTCCTATTAACATTTTAACTTCATAACAAATTTACCTGATTTTTGTTAAGAAGAGTAGCATATGTGAAAAGAAGTTGTCCTCCTAGTTGACCACCACTTTTGGAGTTGATAAATACTAATACAGGACAAGAAGCTACTTCATAGCCATTTTGTATTTCCTTTTCTGGTAGAAGTATGTAATCAGGAATGTAATAATCCTTCAAATAGTTTTCAGCTTCACAATCTGTAATAAGTGCTTCATGACTGCAAAAAAAAAGCCATATGGTTTAAAAATTCAAATGTAAATTGTCATGATGCCCATGAAACAATAACAACTTAATTTGTACTATTAAATCTTGGTAGAGTCGCACTATAAATTTGTGATATAAAACACGATTTTTTCATCTATTTTCCACTGGACCAACTCTATGAAAAATGCATGGTGGAAAACAAATTATCACTGAAATACTGAAAAACTTTCTAATTTTTCCGTGTAAAAGCACTACTATTTTGCCTTTTTGCAATGATTTCAATCAAAATTTCTATGGAAATAATCGCTCAACATTTTTCAATAGGAAATACCTTCATTATATAAAGAAAATAATAAAAATTGATGTCAATATCGATTATATTCCCTCCTTGGAGCACCATCTTCCAACAAATTGTAGGACAAAACTAGTACTTGAGAGTCAAATAAGTTTTTTATTGTTCATATTCGGTTTAATTATTTCAAATTGTTAGTTATTGTAATTACTATAGTACTGTTTGAAACATATTTTAAGGAATAGTTGCCTCAAAATAAGGGGTTATATATGATTTTACATTTATAGACAACTTTACAGATTCTTTCTTGCTGTGATTCCATATATTCATGAAAGAATTGTATGGATGGTTGTCAAGAAGCATTCTGACTTATCTTCATATCTGATCTCGAACATTTCATAAATTTATAGAATTTTCAAGACTCCTCCTAAATTTATATATTATCTTTTATATGGGCATAAGTTAGCATTTAGGACATAGTAAACTTTCTGAACCCTAATTGAAATTGAATTTGTCTGAGTCTCATAAAATTTAGTGTCTACAAGTACTTTTAAAGTAGTATCTAAATCTAAACTAACGATTAAAATTAAAAAATTCACTCTAACAATCTGTATATTAAGACAGAGTTATAAAAGAGCACCTTTTGTGGAACAAATTGCCAAGTGTTGATAAGTTTGCATTCTTGACCATAGTTGCAATCCTGTAGACAATCTGCTTTAGCAATATTATAAAATTTGAATTCAGATAATTATATCTGTATAACTAAATTTTGAAGAATATAAAAGAAAACGTAGAATCACAATCTATAGTAGTACGGAAGATACTTAACTTGAGTAATAAACCAAATGTTTAAATTACAAGTAGAGTTTGAGAAGAGTAACTAATTAACCAAAGTTAATATTACTGAAAACTTCCTAAGCTTTTCTTAATTATTAAGAAAAAGTAGAATGATTAGAATTTGTGTGACATTAAATGTGTATATAAAGACAAGGAAGTTAGGCAGAAAAGTGGATTAGTTGAAGGAGAGTATGCAATATTTATGTCTAACTTGCCATAATATAATTAAACTATAATCAGGTAAACCTTAGTATATTTTTAAAAAATATTTGACTGAGACTAAAATTAAAACGGCCTACTCTTGACTAATTTAAAGGATTGAAATGGTTAAAAATAAAATTTAATTAATGGATTGTCTTGAATCTATTCTCAGACAATAAGCATAAAACATCAACATATTAAATTTTATCTTGACTGGTAAACTAAGCACTCTAACTTTAAAAGTGTATATTTAGATATATTAATTTCGTTTCAATTGACAATTAAATAGTCTAACTCGTCCCCATTAATCATTATGTGTAGTGCACATCAAACGCTGATGTGATACATAAATTTTGGAGGTGTTTAGATGATCATTTTGTTAGTTAAAGTTTTCAACTGGTACAATTGAAACGAGATGAGGTGTCTAAATGTACGTACTCAAAATTAGAATGCTTACTTGCCCGCCGAGATCAAGTTTCACAGTTTATTTGAAGGAAATTATTTTACTCATTAACTCAAAAGCTCTTGAATCTTACTTCAAGTTCTTTCTATTTCTCTCTTTTTCCTATTCTCTTTCTATTTCTTTCTATTGAAAATAACTAGCAACATTCCTATATTTATAATAATAAGAAATCAAATTCAACTAGGACTAGAAAATTTATTCTATATAAATTATAACAAACAAATTCTAACTAGATAGTAATTAAAATAAATATAGAAAATAACAAATTCTAAACAACTTAAGATTCTGCAACTTTAAATTATTATTTCAATATTTAGCAATAAACTTTGATGTTATTTTCTCGATTCGTTGACGTATATACTTGTGAGTTATGACTAGTGCTATTTTTTTGATTGAAAAAAAAAGATTGTAGACGTGGCAGTCATCTATTTGCTCGTAGTTTCAACAAAAGGCATTCCTCCGGTCAACTTTTTTTGGGCTACAATCACATAAATTATGCACTGATTGTGTGAATATTTTTATTAGGTAATTTCTAATTAATAATTTTCTTAAAATCTTTACTAATTTCAATATTTGGTGAGAAATATTAACAATCCAAATGTGCACCAACACCGTTTAAGGGTGTGATTTAGCCGCTAATGAAGTAGTAAAAATATTAAGTGATTTCTTCTCATTTATCTGTCTTAGCTTTGGTGAACATGATCATTTAATATCTATTGACGGTGATTTTCACGTAAGTTGACTCAGAAACCACGATAGTAAAAATCAAAGATGGTGTTTATTGCCTAAATGCTTCCACTTTCTTACACTAGTCTTATTTCAAAGTCCACAATTTGAATCGGCCCAACTCGTGAGATTTCTTTGTCAACCTTGTTAGTTCAGAAACACACAAGAGGGAAAAAAATAACAATTAAAATTTAAAACAAACAAAATCAGAGAAACAAACACATTAATTAAAAGGGGAAATAAGGCTAAATCCTTTGTGCCATTCCGACAGTCAAATATTTTAATTGTGAATTTGATATGATATTACTAAGTTTTTTAAAAATAGAATTTTATATATTTAAAAATTATGTTAAAAGTCTAATAATTTATGGTTTAAAATATTTGAAAGTCAATTTTACTGCATAAATTGAAACAAAGAAAATATTGTATTGTGCAAGTTTCAATTGTCATCTATCTCTAAGTTTCAAAAGTGAATTCAAGAGTCAAAGTAATATATACAGTAATAATTATAGGGAAAAGGCATAAGTGTCCTAGACTATGACCGAAATTTCAGAGATACACTTAAACTTAACTAAGATCTTATTATCTCTAAACTCATCTTTTTCGTATTTTTGTGCACCTTTTGTGTTGATGTGGCACCTTCAATCACCCAAGTTGGTTGTGTTTGTACACACTCGCCCGTCATGTGTGTAAATATATATATTTTTATTTTTTAAATTAAAAATTATTATTTTTAAAAATAAATTAATTTCTTAATTTTTTTAAAAAAAAACATTCTTATTTTTTTTTATCTTGTATTTAAATTAAGTTAATACACATTTTTTTAATCTTGTATTTAAATTAAGTTAATACTCATTTTTTTACCTTGTTTCAAAACTTTCTTTTTTATTTAAATTCATTGTTTTTTCTCTTTTATTTTTCTATTGATTATTTTCTTTGTTTTTCATTTTGATTTGAGTTCAAATGTCTTGTATTTAAAATAAGTTAATTTTGAACGGATATCAAAATAAGTGAAGAAAATCAAATGAAACATAAAAATATTAAAACATTAAAATTAAAGGACACTTTTAATTTATTTTTTTAAAAAAATACACATAATTTATTAAAAATAATTATAAGTGAAAAGATACCAAATTAATTAAATAAAGTTTCAAGTGAAAAGAAATTAATTCTCTGTGCAGTAAAACCTAATTTCTTATCATGTTCTTTTATCTGGATGTGATTTCACTGCTAGAAATTCATTGAGAATTATTAAATTTTTTGATAATTTTTTTCTTTTTGCCTATTTCTAGAGATGACCCAGATGGCAAAGAGGCCAGGAAAAGATTGTCAATTTTATGATAAAAGTGATGCCTGGTGGTCTGCACTAATTACTATGCTTCAAGCAATCCAACAAGTTAAAAGTAGTGTTGTTGACATAGTCTCTGAATAAATGTGAAGACTCATTTTGTTAGATTAAAGTGGCGCCAAGTTTTCAAACATATAGCAATTAATCATCCTGATCAAAGAATTGGTTAGTATTTATCTAGCATCTTTAATTATTGTTCATCCTTATTAATAAAGTTTAGTTTTGAAATATATCAAGAACGCCTTTTCACCTCACAAGCTATCAAATTGAGTATGTTATTGTTGTCGTCAAATTATTAGTAATGTTTTGGTCCATTTTTAAAAAAATTATTTTTTGAATTTATGCATATGACGTATCTTTTATTGTGGTCCATAAGATCTGATTGGAGAGCTAAGACATCTATCTCAAGATTTCTTACACAAGGCAAACATAAAGCTTGAGTTTCATAAAGAAAATTTCTAAGGTTCAAACTTATTTTATTATACTTTTGAGATGCATGATTAGCTTGACTCCAATTAATTATATGGAATGGTGTTAGAAGGTATAATACATTGTCAACTATATAAAGCTCTAATCTGTAAAGTCATTACTAAGAACTCGAATCTCTATAGAATTGCTTTAATAGCTTCCACAATTATCCCTTAAGGATAGTAAGGATAAATGTCAAATGAGCACGGTAATCAACATTCCCCTTATTTTTTAACCAAAAAAAGAGAGTGGAGGTAACTAGTATGCAATGTTAAATTTTAAACAAAGCAATGTTGTTATGTGTTAATTAGACACTTGTGTAGCTTGCTGGTCTTTTTAATTTGAGTGTTCTATAAAATAGAACAAATTGAGCACAACTGCATTTATGTGATGATAGGATATGTTAAATATATATAATTGTTGGCTTCTGATCGTGAAAGATATTATTATATCCTTGATCATTGTACATTTATACATTTTATTATCATTACTATTATTGTATGTCATTACTTATTTTTTTCAATATGTATCTCAAGGTATTTAGTATAGTGTTATTAGAGGATCTGCTATGTCTGCCGCTCTTGCCATGAGGACAAACATCGAACATATACCTGCAAAGACGTTATGAGAATGGAGATATTTTAAATATCATATAAGTTGCTAGCAATGATTTATTACTTATGCTATTGGGAAGTTGTATTTAAATTTAAAAAAAATTAATATAGTTCTGTACCATTTTTGATCAAATAGAGATTCAATTTGGGACAACAAATTCCTCCCTTTTTAATATTATTGTGCGAATATTATACCATTACAGAAATCCAAACATGTCATATTATTGTCTGATGATACGTTAAAGTTGTATTCTCATATGAGTATCTGAATAGCTTAATAATTCCTTCGAGCAATCATTTGTGATGAATAATATTTTGTTGGGTTTGTGCTAGCACGGGCCATGTTCTTCTAGTATATATATATATATATATAAAATTGAATAATAGATATCGAGTTCACAATTAACCATCTCTCAAAACTTGTCCTCATTTTTCATTTTGGCACTCCAACTTAGTCTTGTTCTATTTTAATCCTTAAATCCATTTTTTATGTAGCATTTAAACACGAAATACTAATTTTTATGATTTCTTTGTTTTTATTTATGTTCTTCAATTGCAGTTTCTTATTTTAAAAATTGATTTGTGTATTTTAATTTTCATTAAAAAATTAAAAATTAGCGAATGTAATTATTTTTGAAATAATAACATTATTTTTTGAGATTTTCTCTGTATTTTTGCATGAAAATAAATCAACGAAAGTTCTTTGATTTTCTTTCTTAAACATTCAATTAAGTTAAATAACACTTCATATTTTATTTTTTCTAATCATCTAGGCTATCTGAATCTAACACAAATACTCACTTTTAGTTTTTAATATAACTCAATACGAATAAAAAAAAGAGACTCTTGTTCATTCCTAATTATAACATTAAAATTTTTTTAAAATTCAACTGACTTTATCGAAATGTCGATGATTTATTATGAAAGAAAACAAATACAATATCATCTGTTATTTTTCACACAAAAATATAGAAAAACTATCAAAAAGAAATTATTATTTTCTTAGAAAGAATCAATGTTTATTTGTTAATTTTTAATTTCTTTTACTAAAATA